TAATTTTATACGGCGTTGTGTAAGAGAAGGCTCATCTGCTTCAACATATAGACTATCAATAGGAGAGGTTCTAAAGGACCCAAGACAAAGTCTTAGGCCTTGGTGGTGGACAGAATCAAGTAGTTTTAGGTTGCTTTTGCAGGCTCCACCATATACGATGGAGCCATAGTCAAGTTTCGAGCGGACCAATGATCGATACAGGTGGAGGAGGGTAGCATGATCCCCCTCCCCACTTTGAGTTGGAAACAACTTTCAACAAATCGAGGGCCTTCAGGCATTTGGCTTTAAGTGATTTAATATGTGGCAAAAAAGTTAAACGGGAGTCGAAAATTAGACCAAAGAATTTGGCCTCCTTAACAACTTTGATGGGAGTGCCATTTAAAGATAGTTCTGGATCTTTATGCGGTTTATATTTTCTACAAAAGTGTAGGCAATTAGTTTTGGATTTGGAAAATTTAAAACCGTTTTCAAGACACCATTTATGTATTTTATTTAAGCACAACTGCAATTGCCGTTCAATAGTATGCATATTTTTTACCACGACAAGAAATGTTAAAATCATCCACAAAAAGTGATCCATCAATGGAATCGTTTAAAACCTTGGATAAACTGTTAATCTTGATACTAAATAAAGTGACAGACAAAATACTGCTTTGAGGGACACCCTGATCCTGATTGTAATGATCAGACAGGGTTGAACCCACTCGGACTTGAAATTGTCTGTCTTTCAAAAACCGTGATATAAAAAGAGGCAAACGGCCTCTCAAACCAAAGTCATGTAAATCCCTCAAAATGCCATGCTTCCAGGTCGTATCATAAGCTTTCTCAAGATCAAAGAAAATTGATACAGCATGTTGTTTACTTACTATAGCATTCTTAACAAAGGATTCTAATCGTACCAAATGATCAATGGTACTACGATTTTTCCTGAAACCACATTGAATATTGGTTATAAGGCTATTGGTTTCAAGATACCAAGTTAATCTATTATTCACCATACGTTCCATAACTTACAAACACAGCTAGTTAGAGAGATCGGTCTGTAATTAGACGGATCTGTATGATCCTTGCCAGGTTTTGGTATGGGACTACATTGGCATTACGCCATGAAGGAGGAAATTCTCCAGACGTCCATATTTTGTCAAATATATCTAAAAGTGTCATCAGACATGGTTCAGGTAAGTGTTTCAGCAGCTGGTAATGTATATTGTCATCACCCGCTGCAGTGTCTTGAGCTTGCTCAAGAGCAGTATGTAGCTCATGTAATGAAAACACTTCATTATAATCTTCACTGTTATGTGATTCGAAATGAAGCTTTGTCTTTTCCTGTTGTTTCTGATATCTCTGAAACTCAGGGACATAATTTGCCGATGATGAATGTTTTGCAAAGGTTTCACCAATTTTATTTGCAATGTCAGATTTATCAGTCAGCAAGTTATCACCATCTTAAAGATGGTGCACAGCTGATTTTGTACCTTTGCCTTTTATTCGCTGAACCATGTTCCATAATTTTTCGAAGATTGTCGTTTGTTTTGTTTGAAGGTACGACGCGCCTTTGCATTAAGTATTTTAAATTTATTTAAGTTATGGACAGTTGGGTGATGGCGGAAATAACGCTCGGCCTTTTTCCTCGCTTTTCTGGCTTTTCTACAATCTGTATTAAACCATGGTTTTCGTACATGTGGAGTCGTAGAGGACTTGGGTATACACTCATGAGCTATTTGCTTTAAAATGTCAGCAAAAGTTTGAATGGGATCAGTTATATCACTGAAATATTCAGGTTGCAGTTTCGATGTACATAAGGTTTCATATAAAGACCAGTTAGCCTTCGAAAAGTTCCATCTTGTGTACGATGGAGAATCAGATGGAGTTATTTCTGAAAGGATAGTTGGGAAGTGGTCACTTCCACAAAGGTCATCATGAACAGACCCATCAAATTCATCCAGGAGGTTAGAATCTGCAAGAGATAAATCCAAAGAAGAATAAGTGCCAGTTGCAGGATGCAGATAGGTGCTTGAATCATCATTAAATATGCAGAGGTCATTATTGGAAATGAAGTCTTCAATTATTTTACCTTTAGTATTAATGGTAGAACTGCCCCAGAGTGGGTTGTGACCGTTTAGGTCACCCATGATAACACATGGTTTCGGGAGTTGATCATAGAGTGATTGAAGATCAGTCAGCTGAAGTGTCGATGAAGGTGGAATATACAGAGAGCACAACGTAAAAGCTACACCCAGAGTAAGTCGCACTGCAACAGCTTGGAGATTAGTGTTAAGAGTAACAGAGCTGTGAATAACATTCTGTCGTATAAGGATAGTAGAACCTCCAGTAGCTCTATCACCTGGAGGGGAAACATATTTATAGTCTTCAAACTGGCGTAAGTTAAAATGATCTGTCTGTTTCAGATATGTCTCTTGCAGACAGAACGCTGATGGTGTTAAATCTTGGACAATTAGCTGTATTTCATTCAAATTTGTCCGGAGTCCCCTACAGTTCCAGCGCACGATATTGGTAGATAGACCTATCTTTTAGGCGGATTAATTGGGGATCTACCCCGCACTGTTTTCGAGGGCGACAAGCTATGTGCCCTAGAATGGACGTTTTCGGACATGTCCATGTCCTCAAGTGATCCGTATTTGTTATATAACTGAATTCTATTGTCCGCCCCTTTTGGGGCTCTGCCACTTTGTTTTTTGAAAGCATCAAGCTTCTGTTTATGTTTGCTTTTAGCAGTTTGCTGAGTATCAGATGACGATTGAGATTGTGAACGTGACTGAGTGGGTGACTTGTGATCTGAAGATGACTCTGCCTGCCTTTCAGATGTACTAGGAAGTGATTCCGTGGTTTGAGATGATATAGCGGGATATAAACACTGTGGACTGTCACTTTTGACCCAAGTCAAGTTTGTTTGACAGCTTGTGGATGATGTAGATACTTTAGGGCCTGATTCAGTTGGTGTTTTGGTTATTGAAGCATAACTTTCGGTAATTTCCGATCTCTTCACAAATTTTTTGGTGTCAGAAAAACTGATGTTGTGGCTAAATTTGTTCTTGTTGATCTGCATTTGTTCTTTCCAAATCGGACACTCTTTTGAGAAAGATGAATGTTCTCCTGAACAGTTGGTGCATTTTTTAAAGGTACTTGTACAATCTTCAGTTGTGTGTTTCTTCTCACCACAGTGAGCACACACAACGGACAATGTACAAGACTTTACACCATGGCCAAACTTCTGGCACTTAAAACATCTGAGCGGATTCGGAATATACAAGTCAGCCTGATGTTGCAGTAACCTGTCTTCAGTGATTTGGGAGCTGTAGGAGAAGAAAAGGAAAATAGATAAGTGTTGGTTGGAATAGTTTCATTGTTTTACGGGTTGAAAAGCGTTTGACGTACAGCACACCTTGGTCTTTCATTTCAGTCACGATATCAAGTTCTAACATGTCAGCAAACAGGCGATCGCGGTCTCTGACGATACCTTTGCTTGTATTTAGTGTTTTGTGAGCAGAGACAGTAACGGGAACGCCGACGAACGATTCGGTGCTCATCAGGTTGGCTGATTGATGTCGTTTAACACATTCAACCAGCAGCGCACCTGAGCGTAACTTTTTAATGTTCTTAACATCTCCGGCTATACCCTGAATACCCTTAGATACTGCGAAAGGGTTCAACTTTAACGGTGTCTTGTCAACAGTTTCAATCACTACGAAACGTGGCCAAAAGTCAATAGCTTTGGACGGTCTGAGGTCATCGTCAATAGGATCAGTGTCAAGAGGACGTTTGGTTTTCTTTGTTGGGGTTTCGTAAGCCATGTTTTAGTTTTGAAATTTCATCATCCGAGCTCCCCACCCACCACGGAGTATCACAAAGGACAATGCTAAAAACAAGTGGGCCTCCAACTTGCAGCACCAAGGATACTCGGATGATATACTCAAGCAGAAAAACTAAAATAATAATTTTTCCACCGGATTGGCCCATGAGCCACCGCCTTCTGCGCATAAGACTCTAGGCAAATTACAAAATAGAAGTGACTCATTTGGAATTTAAATACATATAACCATGCAGCCAAAACATATGATACATTTTTAAATAGTTTCCGAAATTTGTGCAGCACACTATACATACACAGGGCTTGGCATGACCAGCCGATTGGTTGAACCGGGCTCATTCAACCACCCGTCTAGGTGAAGTCAGGGCCAAAGTTGTGTGTTGGGCAAAGGAACACTGTTCCTTGAACCAGTGCCCTCAACCACCAGAATCCCTTCCTCCACCGACACAGGGGCGCAACCCACGGCAAACAGGTTGGTGGACCAAATATCCCCCCGGGTCCACAACGGGGGATTGAAGGGCGCTTAGCGTGACCCAGCACCCACCACGAGGAGGTGGCCCTTCATGGGTGCCGGTTATGTTGTGGTGTTTTCGTTATGTGATGTGTGTGTACGGTGTTGTGTGGTCTTTATGTGAAGTGGATGGTGTGGTCATCAGGTAGCGTGTGTAGGGTGTAATGTGGTTGTCATGTGATATGTGTAGGGTGTGATGTGGGAATCATGTGACGTGTGTGTAGGGTGTGGTGTGGTCGTTATGTGAAGTGGATGGTGTGGTCATCATGTACCGTGTGTCGCACTGTGTATTGGACACAACGATATGTGATCATTGCATTTTATTGATGGGTGTATATTCAGTGCTCAAAGTTCAACAATATATCGTGGCTTGCGTGTGTGCGGAACGTAGCATACATACGTAATGGGAACATTAACCGGTTTGTTTGGATGTTTCAACACATTTGTTCCGGTGCCAATGTGGTTAGAATGTCCGCTCGGACAGCGGAAGGTCGCGGGTTCGATCCCCGACCGCGACATACCAAAATACTTTAAAATATGGTACTTGTTAGTCCCTGCCTGGCGCTCGGCATTAATGAGTACAACAAGGACTGGTCGGCTCGGAGTCAGTATAATGTGTCTGAGCGGGGTATTCATGCTTCACTGCGGCATGGTATCTCAGTGGGCTAGCACTATAAAACCAGCTTCAGTCTGGGCTAGTACAAGCAGCAGCACATAAACATACACATGCATGCACGTCGTCATATGAGCGAAATATTCTCAAGCACGACGTTAAACCCAATTTCACCTCACCTCCGGTGTCAATGGTGCGGCAGCATACAGTTAAAAGCTGTCGTTTCAATTTCACTCGATAGTGAGTGAGTGAGTGAGTGAGTGAGTTAATATTTAACGTCACATCGGCAATATTTCAGCCACATCGTGACGAGAACATTTTACATTGTAATGGACACTCGGTAGTATGTCCGTGTCAAACATATATCCAAACATTATCATTATTCATCGAGCCAACAACACGTGTTGACGCTGATTTTGAAGCAGATGGTGAAGCACAATTGCACTCTATCTGCTCACTAAACCAGGATCATCTGCGTGATTGTTGAAAGCTTAAATTATTCAACTGCTTTTGTTGTGGGTATATGTGAGGTGAGTGGAGTTAGTGGTGTGGTTGTCATTCACCATGACCGTAGTTGGTGATGTGTGTATGTGACATTGTCGTGTGTCACACGTGCTTTTATTATGAGTGTATGTGACGTGTGTGTAGGGTGTGGTGTGGTCGCCATGTGACGTGTGTGTAGGTTGTTATGTGTTTGTCATCTGACGTGTGTGTAGGGTGTGATGTGGTTGTCATGTGACGTGTGTGCAGGGTGTGGTGTGGTCGCCATGTGACGTCTGTGTAGGTTGTGATGTGGTCCTCTTATGACGTGTGTGTAGGGTGTTGTGTGGTCGCCATGTCCATTGTGTGTAGGTTGTGATGTGGTTTACATGTGACATATTTGTAGGGTGTGGTGTGGTCGTCATGTCACGAGTGTGTAGGGTGTGGTTTGGTCGTCATGTGACGTGTGTGTAGGTTGTGATGTGGTTGTCATGTTACGTGTGTGTAGCGTGTGGTGTGGTCGTCTTGTGACGTGAGTGTAGGGTACGGTGTGGTCGCCATGTGACGTATGTGTAGGTTGTGATGTGGTTGTCATGTGACGTGTGTGTAGGGTGTGGTGGGGCTGTAATGTGACGTGTGTGTGACGATTTGTTGTCATGGACGGTGTGTAGGGTGTGTTTGGTTGTCATGTGACGATGTGTATGTCATGTGGTGTGTGGTGTGGTCGTCATGTCACGTGACGTGTGTAGGGTGTGATGTGGTTGTCATGTGACGTGTGTGTAGGGTGTGGTTGGTGTCATGTGACGTGTGTGTAGGGTGTGATGTGGTTGTCATGTGTTAGTGTTGTGATGTGGTGTCATGTTATGTGTGTGTAGCGTGTGGTGTGGTCGTCTTGTGACGTGAGTGTAGGGTACGGTGTGGTCGCCATGTGACGTATGCATAGTTTGTGATGTGGTTGTCATGTGACGTGTGTGTAGGGTGTGGTGGGGCTGTAATGTGACGTGCGTGTAGGTTGTGATGTGGTTGTCATGTGACGTGTGTGTAGGGTGTGGTGGGGCTGTAATGTGACGTGTGTGTAGGGTGTGGTGTGGATGTCATGTGACGGCTGTGTAGGGTGTGGTCGTCATGTGACGTGTGTGTAGGTTGTGATGTGGATGTCATGTGGTGTGTGTAGGGTGTGATGTGATCACCGTGTGACGTGTTAGTGTGTTGTGGTTGCCATGTGATGGGCGTGTAGGGTGTAGTGTGATCGTGGTGTGACGTGAATGTAGAGTGTGGTGGGGTCGTCATGTGACGTGTGTGTAAGTTGTGTTGTGGTCGTCACGTGACGTGTGTGAAGGGTGTGGTGTGGATGTCATGTGACGTGTGTGAAGGGTGTGGTGTGGTCAGCATGTGACGTGTGTAGGTTGTGATGTGGTTGTCATGTGACGGGTGTGGTGTGGTCGTCATGTGACGTGTGTGTAGGGTGTGGGGTGGATATCATGTGACTGGTGTGTAGGTTGTGATCTTGTCGTCATCTGACGTGTGTGTAGGTTGTGATGTGGTTGTCATATGACGTGTGTGCAAGGTGTAGTGTTGTCGTCATGTGACGTGGGAAGGGTGTGGTGTGGTCGCCGTGTGACATGTGTGAAGGTTGCGATGTGCTTCTCATGTGGTGTGTGTAGTGTGTGATGTGATAGCCATGTGACGTGTGTAGGTTGTGTTGTGGTCATATGACGTGTGTGTAGAGTTTGGTGTGGTCGTCATGTGACGTGTGTGTAGGGTTAGGTGTAGTGGTCATGTGACGTGTGTAGGGTGTGGTGTGGTCGTCATGTGATGTGCGTGTAGGGTGTGGTGTGATAGTTATGTGACGTGAGTGTAGGTTGTGATGTGGTTGTGATGTGGTGTGTGTAGGGTGTGGTGTGGTCGCCGTGTGACGTGTGTGTACGGTGTGCTGTAGTTGTCATGTGATGTGTGTGTAGCGTGTTGTGTGATCGTGGTGTGACGTGAATGTAGGGTGTGGTGTGGTCGTCATGTGCCGTGTGTGTAGGGTGAGGTGTGGACGTCATGTGTGGATGTTTGTTTGTTTGTTTGGTTTTGGTTTTGGGGGTGGGGTGTTGGGCTTTTTTTTCTTCTTTTTGTCGTTGTTATTATTTGTTTGTTTTAGTAATAAATGAGTGGATTTGCAAAGTCCACATTTAATGTTTAAGATGTCGCCCTGTAATCTTTCCATACCAAATATAAATGCTTTTCATTGTGTAACAATGTTCCGAGTGTTAAGCAAAAAACTTACATTCGTTATAATGCTGAATAATGATCCTGTTTCGAATATGAGTACATACGAAGAGCGTTCAGGAAGTTTTGCAACTTGGGCATTTATGTAAAATAAACAAATGTCAACTTGTGGCTGGTGTGCCTGTTCTGTTTCATGTGCGAAACAGCTCTTTATTTCTTACCCATCTATAGACTAAACCTAGTCTGGTGGTTTATTTTCTTGCGTAATCTATATAAATGACCAGTCTAAAAACTATTATCCGGTTTGGACCAGTTTGCAGGTTTCAGGCGGCATGGCCGAATATTCAGGAATCCTCATCATTTTGAGTAATATAGGAATAATACAGCAACGAGCGAGTATGTATTAAGTCTTTTATTTTTTTTTTTTTTCAAAGCCAGGATGATGTAAATGAAAACTGCGACCAGGGAAAAGCATACTTACCTAGCACAGGCTTTACAGTGATCCACAAGGCTGTGGGCCCGGGGCGAGACCTTTCCATTGCACATCGGCTTGGTTGACCCCTGCGATCGTCCCAAATGTGGACGACTCGAGTGCGCAATTTATAAGTGTGGGGGACTGCGTTCGCGCTCTCCCCTTGGAAAACAAAGTAAAAAATAGAAATTTAACTAAAAAACTTTCGTCCAGGAATACTTTTCAAGGTTTGGGAAAGTTGTTGAAGTGTTGCGTGAATTCGTCGATGTTGAAGGCGTAAAGGTGTTTTCCGGAGTCCGTATTGTGAAAATGGAGCTAACTGAGGAAGAAAAGGACAGGATACCCCACATGGTTCGCTTCGGAGACAAACAATCCATGTTAATATCAGTACCAGGACGAGCACCAATATGCTTTAGGTGTAATGGTGTTGGACATGTCAGAGCAAGGTGCCCAGTTGCAGGTTCAGCACAGAAAGAAACCAGAGATCTTGGAACGGATATAGACAGTTATCCCATGGATAAGGACAGTGATTCGGATAATGATGATGATGATATGGAGAGTGTGCCAAGTGTAAAGGAATATGTTTCATTGGACAGCAATAAGGATATACAGATAACAGTTCCGGCAGCACAGGGCATTACTTCACAGGACAAGACAGTCACAGAGAAGAGGAAGAAGAGTACAGTGGAGAGACAGACTGTGGTTTCATCACCTACAACTTCAGAGTGTGGCAGGGTGGACAAGAAGCTAAAGCCAGGGGAACCAGTGAGAACTGTGCCTATAAGAATTAAACTGACTGTGCGTAAAGACTCGTTTTTTCCAGGTGTGGAAGTGAATTCTGAGGATTTGGACAATTACATGAGACAGTTGAAAGGCAAGACTAAACAGGAAGCATTGACATTCAGAACGGAGGCTGAGAAGGAACTGATTGATAAAGGGAAAAGTTTAATGATTCCCAGAGGACAGACTTCCCTTCAGAAGGAGTTTAAATGTAAACTCACATAAACGGACAATATTGGTTGTGTAATAGACTTTCTGAACTGTTCTAATATGACTTATTATTTCCATGCTTTCCGACTTTAGATTTCAATGTTAGTAGCCTTCATCTCGAAACTGTGATAGGATTTTTAGGATATAGAGATGAAGGTTAAATCAGCACTGTCTGCACATGTAAAAAGAATACCAGTGAATAAACTGTATTAAAAACAAAAACAAAAAAAAAGCAAGGCTGTGGGCCCGGGGCGAGACCTTTCCATTGCACATCGGCTTGGTTGACCCCCTGCGATCGTCCCAAATGTGGACGACTCGAGTGCGCAATTTATAAGTGTGGGGAACTGCGTTTGCGTTCTCCCCTTGAAAAACAAACCTAAAAATAGAAATTTTAATAAGAAACTTTTCCCTTCAAAGTCACTTACAGATGACTGTTTTTCCAGGGAGGTTTTCAAACTCTATACCTTGAATGTGCATGTGTAAAGCTATATACTTAAGCAAAAGAATCTGTTTCATTCAGCTCTGACTTGAATATATTTCAGATGGGATCCCATTGAGAGCCAGTTGTGTTTTGACTGTCAAGTTGTCTGCCCTGCGTCCCGGACATAAGGAGAGCGTTTATACAGCTTAATTGTAAATAAATCCCGTTCTGTGTGGTTTTCTCTATCATTATTTTTTTCATAAAGTGAATGTGCTAATGTAGTGACTGTACATTAAACAGTATGAACAAGAAACGTGTCATGGAATATATGTGAAGCGTTGTTTAACAGACACCCGAGTGGGGTTAACGTTGAAAATGGGTTGTTCCGTGGTTGTGTCTGGGAGGTATTACGCTTTCCTGTAAATAGACTCGCACTTCATCTTTATACTACACACCAAAGTAGCACCAAACTCATGCATCC